AGCCTAGACCACTAGATTCTTCATGTATCTTACAGGGGTGAGGATTTCATGTAAAGCCCTTCTCTTTATGCTTTGCTTTTCCTTAGGGCTCAATAAATAGTAATCATCATAATTTACTTAACTCCATTTTATTTATGATGTAATTAAACAGTTATAATATTTTTCTCCTGTTGTTCCTGTTTTGAAAATACATGTACCCAGAGAAAGCATCTGTTTTGCATTTTACACAACTGGTAGTTATGTTCTTTCTGATTGTGAAAGACTATCCTATATTCTAGTATCCTGTTTCTAGAACTCTAGAAAGCACTGCATATTTCCACTCAAGCATGTCTTTATGTGAACAGATAAGTTCAAAAATGAAAATAATGCTCCACTTAAAGACTACATATCCTCTAATATGTCAGGTATTATTCTAAAGCAATTTTCATATACAATCTTAATTAACCTTTATAATGGCCAGTGAAAGTATTTATTGCTAGGAACATGGTTTTAAAGATGAGAAATCACAAACACACAAACTTTGAATTTGCTTCATTTTAAACAGCTAGTCAGCAGCAGAAGACACAGGCAAGTCAGTTTTAGAATCCATACAATTTGTCCCATAAAATACAATTGATTTGTCCTGAAGAAGTCATGTCATAAAAAGCAGTGTATTTGAAATATTTCTATTGGGGGCTGGATCACACAGAAATAGAACCAAAATGAAAATAAGAACATCACTTGTACTACTACTTCAATGGGAATAATCACTTTGCATTCCCAAGCAACTGGTTTTCCATTGAACTCTGCAACATAATGTACTCAGAAAATAGGAACTGATTCTATACAAATTTCTGAATCATAATACATAACTGGTGCTATCATAAGAATCAAGAAAAAAGATACAAAAGTTCAGAAGTTGACAGTGTTATTTTGACCAAGGGTATACAAGAAACATTTATGAATCAGGTGAGCTAAATAATAATATAGGAAAGAACAAATGAGGAACTAAATGGAAAAAGGTTAACAGCCTAAAATATACTGCTATTGTCTCTATCTTTCTTGTCTCCACCTTAAAATAAGATTTAACTTTAATCTTCTTTTACTTCAATGATATTTTTGCTTTCTGAAAGATACCAGTATTTCTTTTATATCTGATGTGTACTCATCTTTCTAGCTATATGTCTATCCATCTATCTTCTGTTGTCTTAGAGTCTTATGAATTATCATTCCTAAAATCAAAATAATAAGTAGCATTCTTTCCTTTATGTAAGGAATGCAAAATGTTTAGATGAGTCTATATGAAATGCTGAAAACCTTTAAACTTTGTGAACATTATCAAATTTACATTTAGACACAGCAATTAAAAGTATTTGAATTTATAATTCAATCACGGGTTTATACTAGGTAATAATTTTAAAGGGTGAAATAATAAAGCAAATATCCTACAGAAAAAGCACAGGCATTATTTAAAAATGATCATTTTTAAATTAAAAGCACACTAATTAAAAATAGGCAAGAAAAATATACTTAGTGGAGGCTTTTATCAAAAAGTATAACAGATGGATTGTTTATATTTGATAGAGGATATTTAAGGTAACAAAGCTGTGTTAAAAACAAAACTTTTGCTGACAAAGAACTGAAGGTATTATTTGATGATTATGATTATTTGCCAAAGATTAGCTGTTTAAAATTTTGCTAATCTATTTTCTAATTTGTTTTTCACTTTATTCCTCTATTAACAATAAATAGCTTGGTAGCTTTTAGAGGCACCAAAATAAATTATGTAGGCCAGACCACTGCCAAGGGCTAATCATTTTATAGCTGTAGCAGCTAAATTCAATCGACATTTAAATCTATAGGCATCTGCCACTCTGATTCAAAACTTTAACCTGTTGTTAAATTTCCTACAGGCTCATAACCAACATAATCCAAGATTCAGAACTGCAACATAAATCCTTCCATGACAGATCATTTCCTACATTTTCCATTTTTGGGGCCATATTGTTATATATGAAAGAAAAACTGGTCAGAGTAAAGGACAACATAATTTTAATATGTTTTGTAAGAATAACAACTGGTGAAAAGAATATAAATGTCTGAATAGTTTATCTCTCCATCCATGCACCATTCTCTCCAAGCTAATTATTTGCTGAGTACCACTTATATATAAGGCACTAAGACCCAAGAAATGCAGGATTTTTAATAAGCTAAGTTGTACACTTACCAGTGTTAACAACTGTCAGTATATTCAGACACAGTCCCTGGCCTCGAGATGTTCAAAACCTAGTTAGAAAGATAGAAATAAGAAAAAAAAAACTTTTAAATCCTAAATTTTCCTCAAAATACCTTATTTCATTCATTTTTTAATTTTTTTTAATGAGGGAATGAGAAAAAGAAGGAGGAAATTCAGAGGGTTAATGAGAAGATACCAGTTTTAAGTGTTACAAACTTCAGTTGAAATAATAAAATGACAAAAACAAAACAAAACAAAACAAAACACAAAACCCGGAAATTTCTTCTTTCCACGTTATAATGAATATATCATTAAAATTTTGTACTAAGACTATCATGTATAGCATAAAATCGCTAAATTGTTTCCTTATAAGAGGTATTTTATCAAGACTATTAAACGCCTCAGTTTGTTGTTTCTTAAAATTACATAATTCATTTCAAAAACCCATTCTTTCTTCTTTATGGAACTAGTGCTTCCTTCTAGACCACTTTCTTTTCAACTGTTTATCAAACGAACACTTACTCTTCCTTCAGATTCTTGGATAGTTGCCATATCATGCAGAAAACCTTCCTTAATATCCTGTCTGTGCAGGTTTCAGTTAGATGTATCTCCATAGATGCTCCAGCAGCTCTGTTCACATTTTACCACTTTCCCTTTTTTGCCACAGGAACTTTGCTGTGGATTTGGGAAAGGAATGCTATGAGGGACACAACAGTCATGGAGCAGATTTGCAGGTAATGTTCTGCTACACGAGAAGTTCTTGTGCCATTTATTAAAAACATACAGGCTAGTAAAAGCTGATCATGTAACTAAGGTATGAGAAATAAAGCTTGGAGAGTGTGATAGGAATGGGGGACAGGGAAAGGAGTGACAGGGAAAGGACCATTATGACCATATGTCAAGAGACATTTGTGCCAGCAAAATATCTGACATTATCACGAGCAGATTTTATCCTGAGACCACCATGGAGATAGTCACATAATCAGGTCAACAGCGGCCTAGGTGTGCCTGGTCTTGCCTTATGACATGAGCTATACCCTGTAGGTAGTCCAGGGATTCTTTGCTGTGATTTGTAGATAGCAAGTAGGTCATTGTTGCCCATGAGTGACCAGCAAGTATCCAACTCATAGGAGTCCACAGTCTTGGCTACACAAACTGGCCAGATGTTAACCAAACTATTTCTCTTTCTTAATTTTACAAAGATGTATCAGGTATATGTGAACATGTGACTCAGTTTTTCACAATTGAATATAGATGGATTAGCTCATGGCACTATCAGAGCTGATTTTATAGTCATCTCATACATGGCCCTCTATTCACAGGTTGATCCCTGTGGACATGTATGAAAAAAATTCATACAATGAAAATAGTTTACTCCTCCAGTTACAGTTTTTAGAAAAATTCTGTTGGAACTACATTGCCATATAGATAATCAGCCACATCCTACTCTGACTTGGAACATCTATTGGCACTAAAATTTTATGTAAATGAGAATTAATCTTCAGTTCTTTTTGCCATTAAAACTTGAGTGTCTGTTACTGCATTTAGCCTATCCAAACAGTGAGTATTCAGTTTGTGTGATCTACCCATTAGCTCATAAACTAGAAGATTCCTAGCATGACTGATTTCCTCTTGCTCCAAATTCCAGTTGAGCCTCTGAAACAGTATATGTCATCAGATGGTCCTGTCTATTTTTGAAAATAAGTTGCATATAAATAATAAAAATTACCAGGAAAATTTCATAGGGATTATTATTCTAAATACAGATATTCCTTTGGGGCTAGGGTAAATTAAAGGCTTTATTTAGCAGAGACTTCAAAACACCTTTTGGTAAATACTTAAAGATAAGGTCTGATTTTGCTTAGGCTTCAAAGTGAATGGAAACATTGAAAATTTTTGAAAAACTGTTGTCTTTAGGCTTCTATTTGCAGGGCTTTTTTTTTTTTTTTTATAAGACATTGAGAGCAGTTGGGAAGCTTAGTCAGAAGTTACAAACTCACAATCTCCTTGCTGAAGTTACAATGATTTGGGAAGTCCTTCCAACCTCTACCGGGGATTTAACACCAATAGAAAGAAAATGAAAGGTAATTTTCTTTCCTTTTCAAAACAATAACCAATCACAGAACCCAAGACCTCTGCTCTTCTCATAGTACAATGAAATAGCTTTTGAAGTTCAGGTAAAAAATAGAGACATCTGACAAGCAGTCTCTGTCAGCATGGCACCATGTATTCAATGCTGACACATCTTTCCTTCACCTACAGTCACCAGTACTATGTGAACTGACTACTTTTTGGCAAACCACCTGTTGGAAAACACTTTCAAAAGGTCCCTTCCTAAATCTCATCCATCTGTCCTTTACTATCATTCACTTGCTTGAATTTAGTTCTTTTTGGCAGAACTTGGTGTAGGGCCATATCAATTTTATTTTCCATTCTATACAAGTAAGGAAAATGCAGAGGTGACAGTCAGCATTCCCTTCCTCCCTAAAGCACAAAAATGCTTTTTACAATTGCCTTTCAGTCTGAAATAAAACCCTCCAGCTCTGTCTCACAAGTCATTTAGATTACTGCTAAATGGCAGCTTTAGTTTAGATTTTATGGTAGTTTTAATAGATTTTGCATAACTCAGTCAATGCTAATATATAGTTTACTTTGGTAAAGCAATTGTAACAGCAGAGTTAGGCTAATGCCCATTGGCTATAACAGTCAAAAGCATTTCCTATCATTTTTATGGATTTGAAAACAACTCTTCTAGTTTTAGACCATCACAAAACTACCTTTCTCTCTTGAGAAACATATATCAAACTAGGGACCTATTGATCTGTTAAAGTATTTAGCATCAGGTAAATTTTAAAAAGTTCAATTCTCTCTAAGTCATGCTTCATGTTTTGATTAAGTGGGCTTTGTATTGTGGACAAGGTGCAAATTATTCAAAAGTCTCAAGTCTGTTCTGTTTTTGAAAGATTAGAAAAAGAAACATGGGTCATAAATTCTCATAAGGGGGGAAAATGGAGTTTTGGCAATTGATTTAGCTAAAAAAGTACATTCCAGATCACTAGGCATGCCTGTTGTGGGTGAGAGCATAAAAGAAACTAGGAGAGAGCTGTTGTAATGGTATGGGTTTTTTCACTTTCAAGATATCTGCCAAAGTTTTGACTATTTGTTGTGGCTGAGAAAGTTGGAAGAGGTAACATCAGTAACTTTCAGTGGTGGGACTGTCTCTGGTGATGTGTAATCTGGCCTGGTGCTGTTATTAGTATTTACAGATGTTCATGGAAAATGGCAATATGAAATTTTTGAAGGTTTCCGTTACTTTGATCATAACCCAGTTTTTCCCTATAGAAGTAACAAATAGCTTATAAAGCGATCCATTTTGTGTGTTTTACAAATAAGAAAAAAAATCATTATTTTATTTTGATATGACATTAGAGCCAAATCTTGTATATTTACATTCTGATCCATTAGGAAAAAAAATGTGAATACATTGCAGTTCCACCCTATAATTTTTATCTCTGTACTATCACATCCATTCTGCTTTATGTGCAAATCCCAAGATCCATTAATGACTCATGCCTCTTTCATATGTAATAGACATATTTTAATTAAAAAAATTTGAAACTGGCCCTCCCTGGTGGCGCAGCGAGTTAAAGCACAGCACTGAGAATCTAAAGCCGCTTCCACATGAGTTCGATCCCCGCCTGCCCCGGAGGTGACCACATGGCGTGGCAGACCTCTCCTGACCCGCCCGCTGCTCCCCTCAGCAGTGCACTTCGTTGATCTGCCTGTTCTGCTCCCCACTCTGTCTCTGGTGAAGCCTCTCACCGCCCCTGAGCCTCTGGCCTGTACCCCAGTTCTGTATGCAAAAATAAATAAATTAAAAAAAATTGAAACTAAAAAAAGGAATTTTATAGAAAAATCTGGCACTTAATTATTTCCTTGTGTGATGTTTTTTACAACTCTAATTAAATTATAAAAATATCTGCCCATCAATTTTATTCTGCTGCTAACCTGATTTTAAAGAACCAAAACCAAATCCTGATTGTTAAACTAGTATGTCATTTTACAACATCCTACACTGGCACAACGAATGTGTTCCTTTAAAGTAGTTTCTAATTTAATGTTAGAGAAACTTCATTAGGAGCTTTCATTTCTTTTATTTAGAATTATTTGCACATGTTTTTCTATAGTTATTACTCTCACATTTTCATAGATTCAAGTTTATACTAGAAAAGCAACAATAGGTACCACAGAGCCAGGAAAAAAACATCATCTGAAACACCTAGAGGTACTTAGCACACACAATTGTCAAGTTTCTCTTTTGTGTGCATGTGGCCAGTGTAAAGTTAGAATAGATGAGGAAGGGACTATGTTTATAAACTTTATTTAGTGAAAACTGTTAGCTACCCTACATGACATGACATTTCTTTCCTTCTCTACCTCTCCTTTTTTTTTTTTTCTAATACATATATTTTCTACAACATATGTATTTTAATATATCAAGTTCTTTGGAGCTGTGTTAACTGTATAAAAACAAATCCTATCTTTAATCACAATTTAACATATAAATTTAGGGAAATATTCTACAATGATGATGATGATTACTGTAGTGAAGGAATTTGCATCACATATGGCAAGGAATGCTAACTGTGGAATCAACTGTCTCAGCATTAAATAATGAGGTTGGAGGGTTGACTGGACTGTGTGTGTGTTTTCACAGGTCCCTTAAATGAAAAGCAGGATTTCTTAGAAGCCCAAATAATTTTTGAGCTATGATTTGTTTAAATTTAATGTATGTGGTGGTACCGAGAAACAAGTGCATAAACAATGAATCATACAAAAGCAAATGCCAGGGTAACTGTGAGTAGGTCAAAAGATATTTCTAGTGCTACTGAAATCTTATCCTGCTTCCCAACACCATTTCTCCTTCATCAAAAGTTAACAGACAAGGCCCTCTGTGGTGGTGCAGCCGGTTAAAGTACAGCACCAAGAAGCTAAAGTCACTTCAGCATGAGTTTGATCCCCACCCTGGAGGTGACCCTCATGGCGCCCG